TTCATGGCTTTATATGAAATTGGGCAATGGTTTTCTTTACCTCATAGGTTAGATTACAATTCTTTTATTTTTTGTGGGTGCGGGTACCGGGAAGTCCTGATCTGAATAAGATTAGTGTAATTTACTGGTAACTGTGCAACTGTGTAATCCGCTGACCTATTTATACCATAACCTGATGTCAGTAAATGAAAACCTTAACCCGTGTATTCGGGTCCTTAACAAGTGTGTCGTCTGATCAACTCAACATTGTCTCCCTCTCTCTCTATAATGGATTGAAGCATTAGTGCAATATCTTATCGGGTCGGTCTGGACGACAACATCCTCCATTATGTCATTCTGTCATACTTTGATCAAACGTGCGATACAATATAGCCGCTCAGTATTTGCAGCTAATTTTGTGTTGTCTCTGACTCCAGACTATGCTAACAATCTATGGTGTAATGATCTTTATTACAAAGATTTCGGTTTGCTGGTGGACGAAATACCACCCTAACCGACACAGAGTTAGTTGTAGTTCATTTGGTTTCGACTATCTCCGCATCAACTCATCCTGTTTTCAATTTCTCCCTTTGCATCCTTTCCGTCCGTCGCATAGACTCCTCCGACCGAGGCTCCCCTAGTCCATCCACTTGTTACTTGGCTGGCTCACATTCGGATCATTCTACCACCCCATTGGCTCCGTCCACACACAATAACCAACCCCGATTTGTACATCGTGCTCCGCCACCAGTTCCCGGAACAAATGGCAATCGATCCCGTGAACCGGACCACCCTTATCCCCATTCTGCTCCGCCTTCGTCTCATCATCATCTTCATCATCACCACCACTCGACCTCGAACATCACGCATTCAAGCGGCAGCACTGCACCTCGCCCCGTCGTAATTGATGCACTGTTGCGTCTGTTAGTTTACCACTGCACGGATCCGGAACCGAACCAGCCAAATGGTGTGCGCTCATCCATGTCGGAAGATCAACGAGCCGTGCTCGATCGACTGTATCGTGCGCTGTGCACAAACCCGTCGGGGACGGGCGCCGCGCTGGGACGAGCATATGCGTCCCCGGATTGGGCTGACGCATCTGGTGTTATACCTCCCCTCGCACGACGCCTCTTACCCCATCTGATACGTATAGCCTATACGGAACTGGTCTCCAGCGAAGACGGTTGGGGTGAGGATCGTTCTGGGTTGTCAGAAAAGAACAACGGAGAATCCGGTAAGCGTAAAAACTGAAATTCCAACGTGCATTCTTCTTTCCTAGCGGTTGTGTCGTGATAGTCAACTTCATTTATCATGATATGTTACATCTAACATTTATCCGTTTCCTAATGGTCTATCAAAATAGTCATCATGGCACAATCCTCTTTATGATCACGTACCGATCTGTTCTCCAGCTGTACACGAACAGGTTTATCAAGCCCAATCAAGTGATTTTCTTAGTGATTCTCAGTCGGAGCTATTAGCTAATCGGGACGTGTCCTATAGGACTGTATGTCGCTGCGTAAAGGTTGCAGCTCATAGCACTCGGATCCCATGTCCTTGAAACTCGGATCAAATACTGTCTCATAAATGAATTTTTCCTTTTTTATTTATTGAATATACAAATGTACAGTCAACATTCAGGAAGGAGGGCCGCAGCCATACAAAGGCTGTTTGGGAAGACGGGCGGTGGTGGAGCGGTTCGAACCCGGGACTCCCAGGTCACAAGTTGGTGACCTAACCCCTTGGCCACCACCGCCCAATCACCATCACGCCTATTCTAGTGGGGCCCTATGTGGTTGTCCATTCCAACTCCCGGGACTTAGGTTGCCGGTTTCTATCGCTGAGTAGCATATCTGTGCGACTATGCGTTCCATCCCGTCTGCTGTTCATCATACGATAATGTGTGTTACTTTTAAAGCAATCAACCTAATAACAAGGATGTCTTATAGCTAGCGCGGATTTCTTTGAAGGGTATATGTATATCTAAGTTGAAGCACCCGCTCAAAGATGATGTAGCTACCGGTTGTGTATGAATTACTCCGTAGTATTTGCTACTTAACTTATGCGACTACATTATGAGAACACAAATTGGCAAACAAGCTGGTTTTCAGTGTGTCTTAATCATGCCATTACAACACAACGTCCGAGCGCGTCCGTGAGCATCACCCTGCATGGTTGCGAAGTGGAGCAATTAAGTCAATCACAAGTGCCGTCGTGTCGCACCTTGTCGACACTAATCACATTGTAAACGTGACCGAAGCGTTCCGACCCCTGTATAGAGTTAAGACGGGTTTCGCATTCTAGCCACAGTGGAGGCAGTTTCCATCCGTCTTCACAACCCTCCTCTATGGGCTCAGAAACAATTTGTGCAAGCACTCAAGCTCCCATGGCCGGATCGCCGACAAGTGACTTGTCATGCAACATCGGAGCAAGTGATAATTGGGGACCAATTATGAAACAAACTCTTGAATATTTTAATTACTTTCCCTCTCCTTTTTCCTTGTAAATCCTTCTGTGATACTAGTCATATTTATTGTGTTGTAATGGCATGATTAAGACACTGAAACCGAGCTTGTTCGCCAATTTGTGTTCTCATTAAGAGCTCCGTGGGACCTTTTAAACATTATGCGACTACCTTAAAAGCAGCGCGTATACCTTCATCGCTTAGAAAACAAAGTGCTACTTGCAGGATTTAGCAGGAAAATATTGTTTTATTTCATGATGTGGCATATTTGGGATAACACACGAACATTTATTTCTGTCGTTTCAAAGAGCTCGCTTGCCACATTCTTCAGGATTGTTGTTTATCGCTTATTAGGTGAACAAACGTCCATCTATTAACTCCTGGTTATCAAAGTGTTTTTCTTCCTGTCCGCGACTTGAAGATCATTTCGGTGACGTACTGTTTAAAGAAACTACCGCCGGTTAGGGTCCCGTGTGTTAGCACTTTTCATTTTCACTTCAGTGAAAACACCCCTGACGGTAGGCAATGAGAAGGAGAAATTCGTCACCAGGTGCATTCAATGGGAACATTGCTTAGGACAAGAACGAGTCCTGGCATGACCTCAGGGGGACAGCAGCTTTTCGAAAATTGTTTCAATAATCTTATTTGAAGGCCAGCCTAATTTTCTGGTTTCCCTAGCCGAACATCGGTTACTCAATTCGCCACATTTATTAGGATGTAATTCGTCATTAGAACCACGGTCAGCTGTTCTGTTCGCTGAGTTTTATGTTGCTACACCGCGATTAGCTAAGATTCATGAGTGCTGGAAATCCAAAAGCCTCCAAAACATGCATACCAGATCTAGCCTCAGTAGTCTCATTCTTTTTTCTTGACCCTGCTATTGTCCGCTAGCAGAATGTTTTCCTAATCATTGACGTGTTGAATCATCGCATCGATAACCACTCGTTGAGGATTCGACAGAGTTCCGGTAACACTCTTGTTCCCCTGGTATTTTTTTTTGTCATATTTTACTGACTTGTCTAAACACGATCTGCCGTTTATGTGTGTGTATGTGTTATGGTGTGAATTCGTTTTGTATACTGTAAAGTACCTTGAATTGAACCTGACTGGTATCCAGTTTCTATCTTTCTCTCAGACAGATATTGTTTGTCATTGATTTTCTGACAAAATGTCCGACATAATTAATTGCCCACACGGTACAATGGAATGGAGGGTATGCGTGTGTGTGTGTGTGTGTGTGTGTGTGTGTGAAACGATGAGGAGGGGAATGTGTGAAGGTGATTAGGGGGAAGGGGAGGGTGGGGCGAGGAGGCATATGAGCGCAAGGCTGTTTTGTTTTTCAATCCCATCTGGTGAAATCACCGGAGTGACATTTTTGATTGTCCATCGTCGCGTCTGGCCGAAGATGAGAACAGAACCGGATTGCTGGCAATGATAACGATGGTGGAGAAGGATGAGGAAAATTAGAGCCACGCACTGGTATTTACACCCATATCATGAGCTTCGCATTATGCTGCGTTGGGCTTCAGTAGAATAGGAACGATTATTGCGAAGCTCAGCCAGCTTTGAGATCATTGAAAGACGTAAACCATACCATCTCGTCTAAGTTAGCCCTTATCGTCATCTCTGACATCTCGAGAGTTAACTACATCCGAGGTCGGTCTCTTATCAGTACCTCCTCATTTGCTGGTGGACACTTTCGTCCAATGCCTTAACACGCCTTCACTGATGTGGTCTTATAGGACTCACCACTTCAAAGCCTATAATATAGACATGTTTTGGGCTCCATGGTCCGAGGTTCGGGCCCCGCCACCACCACCCGACTTTGGTGGTAGGCGGGTTTGCTGTCGTCCGGTTAAGTACCACACATAACCTTCGGGACCTAATGTAGTTCGCCATTCCAAGTCCCGGGACTTAGGTTGCCGGTTTCCATCACCCACCCCCCACGCAATACCCCCACATTTTCTACTGTTTGCCCCACCCCGAATGGTTCCACTGACGTAGGTTCATGTTGTATCTCGCCGCTATCCTCCTTGACATTTGCTTCGGGACCGTCCGTTCCATTCCTCCGACCTCACTCTAGGTTCAAACTGGCTTCATTCAACGTAAGAACTCTAATGCGTATAGGACAACAAGCAGGTTTAGCTCGTACACTCGAAAGTCTAGAGATTGATTTGTGTTGCTTCTCGGAAACACGCATCCAGGATCTGAGCTCAATGATCCGATGAACGTCTCCTTCCAACCCAAAAGAAGCGTTTCAACTGCGAGTCTCCGGGGACCCTATCGCCTCAGCGTCTGG